TCAAGAAAAATATTTCACAGAATTTGAAGTAAAAAAATTTATCTGTTGAAAAAAAAAAAATTTCATTTCCCAAAATTCATTTTCGTGATATTTTCTTAAGCTACAGGGGCAAAACGGGTTGTGTTTATCTCAAATTTTTGAGTTTGAAAAAGAATTGAATTAAGTTGAATTAAGTGAAAAAAACAATAATTATTTTTTCAAAGTTCCAAAAAATTCTATTTAAAATTCAAGAAAAATACTTCACAGAAAGTGAAGAAAAAAAATTATCTGTTAAGAAAACCCTCATTAAAAAAAATTGCATTAAATTAAAAAAAAATTGAATTGAATTGAAGAGAAAAAATTAAATTAAATTTGTAAAATTCAAGCGGTAAGACGCAAAGGGAAAACCAATACGTCTCCTGGGCGGGCCATGATGGATAGCCAGAGCAATGGGAAACTATCTGTCAAGTACAATATCGACCCTCAGTTTCAACCCCTGTCGCTGTGCCTCCGTGGGTACTCCGTCGCCTCCCGGAGTCCCTTTCATTTGCGGAGTTTTCGTCTCCATCGGACGGATATGTCCATATCTTACCGCTGGCTGGAGTGTTCGCACACATTTTCCAGTTCCTCACCTATTCCTGGGGCATCGTGGAAGCATCCAGAGCATCTCCACCCATGCGGCACCCCACGAGTCCATCCGCACTCGTAGTATTTGCGTAAAAACTGAATCAAGACGTTCCATCAATTTCTTTTCATTTATTCGATGCGAGGAAAAATTGAGAGGAAGAGGGAATTTTCTTGGAATAAAATAGATTCGGTATTTCCCACATAATTTATTTCATGGCACAAAATATAATATATTTATCGAATGGTGGCAGCTTGGGCCCTTGTACTTCATGGAATGGACTAGTTTTTTTATTGAAAAAGAAAGATTGAAAATTTTTTTGGGTTCAGCTACAATTTTTGATTTTATTGGATTATTCCGTCGTTTAGAGGACTTCATGAAGGCTTATAAATTAATTGATTTTCCTGGTTACGATTAGTTGAAGTATTTCCATCAATTTCTTTTCATTTATTCGATGCGAGGAAAAATTGAGAGGAAGGGGGAATTTTCTTGGAATAAAATAGATTCGGTATTTCCCACATAATTTATTTCATGGCACAAAATATAATATATTTATCGAATGGCGGCAGCTTGGGCCCTTGTACTTCATGGAATGGACTAGTTTTTTTATTGAAAGAGAAAAATTGAAAATTTTTTTGCGTTCAGCTACAGTTTTTGATTTTATTGGATTATTCCGTCGTTTAGAGGACTTCATGAAGGCTTATAAATTAATTGATTTTCCTGGTTACGATTAGTTGAAGTATTTCCATCAATTTCTTTTCATTTATTCGATGCGAGGAAAAATTGAGAGGAAGGGGGAATTTTCTTGGAATAAAATAGATTCGGTATTTCCCACATAATTTATTTCATGGCACAAAATATAATATATTTATCGAATGGCGGCAGCTTGGGCCCTTGTACTTCATGGAATGGACTAGTTTTTTTAATGAAAGAGCAGAGTTGAAGATTTTTTTGGGTTCAGCTACAGTTTTTGATTTTATTGGATTATTCCGTCGTTTAGAGGACTTCATGAAGGCTTATAAATTAATTGATTTTCGTGGTTACGATTAGTTGAAGTATTTCCATCAATTTCTTTTCATTTATTCGATGCGAGGAAAAATTGAGAGGAAGAGGGAATTTTCTTGGAATAAAATAGATTCGGTATTTCCCACATAATTTATTTCATGGCACAAAATATAATATATTTATCGAATGGCGGCAGCTTGGGCCCTTGTACTTCATGGAATGGACTAGTTTTTTTAATGAAAGAGCAGAGTTGAAGATTTTTTTGGGTTCAGCTACAGTTTTTGATTTTATTGGATTATTCCGTCGTTTAGAGGACTTCATGAAGGCTTATAAATTAATTGATTTTCCTGGTTACGATTAGTTGAAGTATTTCCATCAATTTCTTTCCATTTATTCGATGCGAGGAAAAATTGAGAGGAAGAGGGAATTTTCTTGGAATAAAATAGATTCGGTATTTCCCACATAATTTATTTCATGGCACAAAATATAATATATTTATCGAATGGCGGCAGCTTGGGCCCTTGTACTTCATGGAATGGACTAGTTTTTTTAATGAAAGAGCAGAGTTGAAGATTTTTTTGGGTTCAGCTACAGTTTTTGATTTTATTGGATTATTCCGTCGTTTAGAGGACTTCATGAAGGCTTATAAATTAATTGATTTTCCTGGTTACGATTAGTTGAAGTATTTACAAAGGTTATTGCTAGAGCAAAAATACTGAACAAGTAAAGTGATCGTGGAGCGAACTCGATGTTTAGAATATTTTCCCCCTATTTCGGGGAAAAGCGCCAGATGAGTTGTGAATTTTTCTCCGTTGGCCCGGGTAAATTTACTGAACACAAAAAAATTATCCCAGCGAACGTGAATGATTGCTCAATATATGGCGTAAAATTTTTTGTACCGAAGAATGATTTTTTACCGAACGAATCGTAAAATATCCTCCACAAACAGGTATTTATTCATTGAATCACATTTCGCTTCACGATTACCTCTCAAACAGTCAAATTCGACACGATTTTCTAAGTAATTGTTATCCGCGTGGGATATATTCATTTATTTAAAGTGACTTCACTTTCATTATGTCCTTGACCCCGGGAGAACACTTTTTTTCTAATTTCCTCAGCTAAAAAAAACTGATGTATTGTTTTCTTCGAAAGTCACTTGTTATCAAGAAGAAAACAAAATTGCCGAAAATATAAATTTGATATTCAATTTGAAATTCGATTTTAGAACATTAAAGGACATTTTTTATTGTGAATTTCCTCAGATACAGACAACACTTTTTTAAAGATAAAAGTGAAATTTCGAGAAGATGAATTAATTTCAGTAGAACAACTGCTAATTGGTCTCGTATATCACCAAAAATATTTAATCTCCCCCCTCTGCATCAAACCCTCACCATCAAAAACTGTCCAATTATCGTCCTAAATTACAAAAATCCCAAAAAACCTATCCCACAACTACACTAATTTCCCCTGCATTCAAATTGTTATTAAAAATTACTCTCCCCACACTCATCCTTCCACTCTCAAATAACCCCCTAACAAATACACTCAATTTATAAAAAATCTTTGATCTTTGATGCGTCTACACTTAACAATTCCCCTACCCCTAAACGTAATTTGTACTCCACTCATTAATTACTACTCCTAATTACAAAAAATACTAGCTGCCCCTCAACTACGGAAAGTGAAAATACAATTTATATACAGAGCACCTCCGGAGTCTCCCGTAGAATTATTCATAGTCACATGATTCAAACTGACGCGCACGCTGTGACTGACTTTCACTACTTCTACTCCCCCTCGCGTCGTAAGGTGATTCCCCACAGCTTCAATAAAAATTCACTACACACGAATCACTAGATCGGTTGTATTGCAGGTACAGAAATCAAATGAGAGATTCTCGGGATACGAAAAATTGAAAAACAAAAAAAATGAGCGAGAACGCGTCGCCACGAGCGGCTGGCGCACTCGGCCATTTTGAATCTCTACGAAATCGGCGCAGCTGCACAACGAAAATTCCCCCCACCCCCGGTACTCTTGCCTACCCCTAGTGCCTAACCGCCCCAAATGGTTCATTTCTTCCAACTATTATCACACTTTGAATTCCTCCTGCACACAAAAAAACCTAAACGTATATTAAGTTTACATAAACGTAATTTACGACTACAAAATCGTAAATTACTGTTAAAGTCGCCGTAAATTATGATTATATAAACGTAATTTGCGACGATTTTGAGCGTAATTTTTTATTGCGGAATCGTAAATTACAGCGATTATAAATAGTAATTTACGATTTCGCCATCGAAATGCCTAAGCAAAGCGTCTTTTACGTTTATCAAAACGTAAATTACGGTTATCAAAAATACAAAAAAAATTATGAAAACGTAATTTACGTTTATAATTGTCGTAAATTACGATTTATAATCTGATTCTACTGACGCTCTGTCGTAAATTACGCTCAATATCTTCGTAGATTATGATGATTTTTTCGTATTTTTGATAAACGTAATTTACGTTTTGATAAACCTAAAAGACGCTTTGCTTAGGCATAATTTACTTTTTGCTAAACGAAAATTACGTTTTTATTTTGACCGTAGAATGCTCTTTTTTAAAGCCTAAATTCCGATTTTCATGACGGAAAAAAATCCACCAGACATCATATTGACGTTAAGTGTAGATTACGTTTATCAAAAGGTAATTTACATTCCGCAAAACGTAATTTACGTTCAGGTTTTTCTGTGTGTGAACTTATGAAACTGACACCGTGTTTTTATCTTTGAAACCTCCCATATCATCTGGAAAGTTCAGATTACCACTTTCAGGAGACAATCTTTGCGGACGACCCCACGAAAAGGGACCACTTTGTCGATATGGAATTACATATGCACTGAGAAAAAAATTTCTAATATCTGAAACATATTTTCTCGAGACAAGTAATTTTTCTTCAACGAGAGCGAACGCGCGCTCCGCGCACGGAGAGAAATATTCAATAAAAATTACGTATCCGTTCTGTTTCTGCCAGTGTAGAATCGACAAAGTAGTCCACATTGAATTACCCCCGAAAATTGTCGATCGCGATTCAGCAACTCGGACGCATTCAGATACCGGACAAGGCCTTCAATTCCCCTAGAGTATCAACACCCCCATTAATCTCCCCGAAGCCTATAAACCTCCGGCGTCAAAATATTTTCAGAACATCTTGCATCAGATACAGAATTCCCTGAAGCCCATCCAACTTCCCGAAAATCATAAAAACCTGACAAGCTAACTGCGAAACGCCGAAGGCAGCTCTACCTGGTCGGGGGTCGCAGGCCATTTGGCCTGTGCAGCAATAAATCACGATTCCTCCGGTCAGCTGCGCGGCAACATCGAGTGTCGCAAGAACCCCTCACGATCCCGTGCCAAGGTTCACCTTCCCCTGAAGTCCATACGGGTGCATCTGATGTCCGTACTCTTGATTAGAATACAGATGTCCCTGATGCTGCTGATAGCTCAGATAAGCCGCGTGCAACTGCTGCTGTTGCTGCTGAAGACTACCGGATTGCTCCAGAGGATTCCCCGCCCCCGTCGCATGTCCCATCGCACTGGAAGACGTCATCAGCATGGCGTCCACCGAAGGTCCAGAATTCGGAGAGACGTCATCCAGACCATCCAGCCCAAATCCCCCCAGCTTGCCGTCCTTCTTGGCCTTCATCCTCCTGTTCTGAAACCAAATTTTGATCTGCCTCTCTGTCAGCTGCAGACTCCCCGCTATCTCAACCCTCCTCTTCCTCGTCAAATACTTGCTGTAGTGAAACTCCTTCTCCAGCTCAAATGTCTGCTGACGGCTGTACGTTTGCCTCGTCCGCTTCTGTCCCACTCCATTGACGTCTGCTGAAAACAAATGACTCGTTAATACGACAACGCCGGAATGCTGAAGGCAAATGTATCTCCACCTCCTCCGAGGAATCTTTCCGCTTTTTATTTATCAACACGTGATGAAGAGTGATGGAAATCCCGGGATCATCAATTATCGCGATCCCATCGTGACGATTAACTAATGATTACAGATACTTAAACACAACTGAAGAATGCTTTCCGAGAATACTGACTCACCGGAGGTGTAGGTTGACCTCATCCAGGCGTAGTCGCCTGTCTTCGGTTGATCGTCGTAGTCGCATGATCCTGTTGGACTTGCTTTTCCATTATTGTTATTGCTAGGATATGGTGTGTAGCCAGGATGCGCATCGTAGGTGGGCGATGTGGTGGCCGGACAGGGGAGGCTTCTCTGGGCAGCGTAAGCTAGATACGGGTAGTTGATCCCGGAATATTCAGGTCCGGATGTCGGATACCTCTCCTGCGAGGAGTCAATGATCAGACCAGTCATCGGCGAATTCCGGTCGGAAGAGGACGACGGGGTGTACGGGGGGGTGTGACAAGGCATTTGGGAGGATGTGGGTTGGCCAGGACTCGGGTTGCCTGGAGGAGTCGAGTAGCTCTCGCTGATGGCATCCCCGGGCTTCTGCAGGAGGGACTCCAGGAGACTTGCTGGAGGCGATTGAGATGACAGCCCTGGGCTGCGTCTGGGGTAACTGGCGCTGACAGCCTCCTTTCCGTGACGAAGGATTGTCTCCAGAAGACTCGGCGCCGGGGGATTAGATGGGGCACTGTCACTTGGGTAACTCGGGGGATGATGGGGCTGGGACATCTGGTGACACGTTGATGACGCGTACAGGGACTGCTCCAGCCGGATGTCACTGACTGGGTGATAAGGCCAGTAATCACTGTTTGGATAGTAAGCCGAACTCGTCATTTTGGGGCTTTGGAGGCACTCACTTGCACTAGTCACTTGATAAACACAATTCACTGGATGTTATTTTGCCCTTCGGGTGGTTGGCAATCGGTGATGACCGGTCGCACGCCGGTGGCGTTCTGCAAGAGCTTGCTGTACCCAGGCTTGAACGGAGCCCGAGTACCGAGGGGGCACAATGGAGGCGAAATGATTTGTGTACCTCGGGTTGACGATTTTCGTTGGACCCTCGAGGGGGGGCACTGTATTGGGGAACTACGGGGGTTGCGCGTGCCAATGGGTCCCTCAGACTTTCACCGTTTATTGCTCACCCCGACAAGGACGAAGCGGCGGCCGCGCCGTGGAGGGGGAAGGGTCACTGAGAATTCCCCCTGGCCAGGTCTCTCGGTCGGGGGTGCTATCAGCTGCCCTTCGCCTGCTGAACGAGCACGAATGCATCGATACACCCTCGATAGGAGCATCGCGTATGCGGGAAAATCTCGTCCCCTCCCACTATTAGCGCTATTCAATCCAGCGCCATGTGGATGCGGCCCCCATGCACTTTTGTCACATAGATGTTGTTCGGGGGGGGCGGGGGG